GGTTCGACAGGCGGCGGCCCGACGGGTAAAAGGGTCCTGGATCCTGGGACGGGTTTGGAGTATGGGTTTGACAGGTCCAGTCATGACTCCTGGGTTGGTCATTCTTTCAAACGTGCGTAACGTATTTGGTGTTTTTTCTTTATGCTAATTGTATGTTTCTTCCTCCTTTTGCATCCGGCTACTAAAGCTTTCAATTTGCTCACTCTATAATCGATTGATTATCACTGTTGGGGTCTTACTGCTGGCGCCCGACCTGTTCAAACGAAACCAAAGAGGCTGACCAGCGGCTACTTAGAGAGAGAGGCCACACACTAGAGTCCATGTGTCGGGAGCAGGAAAAGGACTGGTCAAAAGTAAGGACCAAAGTGGTTCCGAGGAGTCGGGAGCGAGTAGGGAAATACTCCGATGGGACGGCTATTTGCTCCGTCAACTGCTATAAATATACAGCCACACCACAAACTCAGGTACGAAAATATGTGATCTGTTAAGCTCAGACTACTTACTGATTGGGCGTCGAGTGGCTTACCTCATCGCAGGTACCCCAAGAATCGTTCTAAGTAAAGCCGACCGACCTCTCAGGTCATCTTCCGTGCCTTGGCATATTTTTGCATCAACCATCACTAATCAATTGAAGCAATTTGAGCTTAAGAGAATCATTTTCCAAAATTAAAATGTGTTTTTTGAAATTTTTAGATACCAAATAAACACCAGCCTCGAGCCAACATGAGCTTAGTCTAATAGTAATCAGGTTTAAATTCTATTTTTATAGATATGCTATTATGTTTTCACTTTTGGTTCATTTAAATGTTTGTAGTTTCAACTTGGCTTAATTTAGCTTTTCTAATTTCAAAATGTTTGTTTTTTTCTTCTAGGGATCATTTTAGTCCCTATTTTCAAAGTCATAAAATAACTTCTACACATAGCGAAAACCTTTAACAAAAAGTAAATGTTAGATTCTAAAAAAAACAAAAACAAAAAGTAATATTATTGAATGTAATTTCGTGTTAGAATTGTGATTAAAAAAATAAGATTAAAAATAAAATTAAGGAATCAAAATAGTCACTTTTAAATACTATTTTGAAAGCACTTAGAGTGGTGAACAAGTACTATGACTGAAATGAACTAAAGTTGAAAGTACAATAACTAAAAAATAGTATTTTAACTATATATGTTTTAGTCTTTTGATTTGAGAGTTTTTTTTTCAAATTAGCCATTATTGTTTAAAAAGTTTGTCCATGTATTTTTGTCGTTGGTATATGCTAAAATTAGTAAATGATAAACTTGTATAGTATAATACTTAATAAATTTGTGAAAATTCAAGCAAGGAAAAAGGTTGTTTACATGAGAAATGAAAATTTATGATTACACCTTTAATTTTAGAATGAAGTTTTCATTTTTTTATTCTCATGTGAGAATCTTCTTTCTCATTTACGTTTGTATTGATTTATTAAGTACTGTATCATGTAAGTTTATAATCTAATATTAGACTATATTAAAGGTTGTTAAAATATAAGGGACTAAATTACAAATTTTCAAATTATAGAGACTAAACTGAAAAAAAGAAAAAATTGGCTTAGACTAATACATATGTTTCGTTTTTTTTTCTCTCTCATTAAATTATAAATTTCTTATTATAAACTTTCAATAGAGTTTCTAATGGATTTCAAACTTGCATGATTATTTTTGTTTGGTTTTATGTTTAATAGGTTCACATCGTTAACTTCATTAGTTTAATATTTATGTAATCGAATACCTTAAATTATTTGAGATCGTCTCATTATGTAACCACTAATGCGACATTTACTACCATCCCAACTCGATCTCTTACTAAGAGTAAGTTTAATATAGCTTTTAATTTAAGCCTATTTTTTGCACTTATTTTTGTGTTATTGTCTTTGAATGCTATTATAAAAAAACACCATTAGTTGGTTGGGAATAAACATCTTAACCACTTAAGTTATGTTCAGGTTGATTATCTAAAACTACTTAAAAAAAATATAGTAAAATATACTTTTTGTCAAAATAAACAATTTTGGTCCCTTAAGAAATGGTTTTAAATGGCCCATGAATTAATTGACCATTAGTCACTAATGAAAATATGACAGGATGATTATTTGTTGATTGGTCACAAAATATGTTAATTTTATTTTATAATATATATATATATTCTCAAGCCTTTAATTATTGTGGGTCTCGTACTAATTATTGGTCACGAGATTTAATTTCATAAATTATTACCATAATCCCTTAATTATTGTTGTGCGTCCATACTAATTTTCAACACAAATCCCTTAATTCACTCATTCAAAACTTTAATTTACCCTTAAAAAAATTGATTTTCCCTTAATTCGCTGCCAAGGCAAGCACTCGGGTCAGCGGATCCGCTTAAGAAAGCAAATCAAACAAAAATGTCTTCAAGCTCCCTTCGCCAAACAAAGAAAAAGGCTGATAAGAAAAGAAAGACGGAAAAAAAAAAAGTAATCAAAGTATAGCCGATCGAGTACCACATAAGGATAAAAAAGGCATCCTCTCAAAGCGAACAATCCAACGACTTCCCCCCTTTTTTTTTCGCTTTTTCCGGCCCTTTGGCTAGTCCGTTTTCTTTGACTGGCATTGTGCTCAATCTTCAAGACAATTTAAAATCACAAAAACATCTTTTGAAGTCTCAATAAACATATATCCGCATATTCAAAAAATATATTCAAAATCACAGTATATATCCACTTATATATCCGCACATATATATTCAAAATCACTATAGTATATATATGCATATTCGCATATATACAAGTTAAGTTATAAGATATATCCACTTATACATCCGAATATATACATTCAAAATCACTATAGTATATATCCGCATATATATAAGTTGAGTTATAAGATATATCAAAATCAAATCACTATACTATATATCATCACATATAAAATATTTCAAACAAAATCAGAAATTGAAAACGTCGGTTGGAATGCAAACATTTCAATCTGGAGATGAACTATTATGAAGATTGAGAAAAATGGAGGCGGCCGGAGATGAAGGCAGACAAACATCGGTCAGAAACAAAGGCAGGCAGAAACGCCCAGAGAATAAGAACCGGCAAAAATAGGAGTCGGCCGGAGAGGAAGGCAGACAGTCGGAGAAAATGAATGGATGGTCTGAGAAAAGGAACAGACAGTTGGAGGAAGGAAAACCGACGGTCGAAGGAAGAAAATAAAAATGAGGAAGAAAGGGTGGGTTTTGAAAATAGATGAGTTTTTAGGATTTTGAGATTTTTTAATTTTTGAAAGTATTATTAGCATATTTTAATGGATTTGACCTCCCAATTTACCAATTCTAAATTTTAATTATTATTTAACATTGAGATAGATCTTAAGGATATACTAGTAATTTGTGTTATCCATCGGGATTGTTTCATGACAAAAGTGTAAATTCTATACTTTTTCATTCTTTTATGTAACTATGATATCTAAATAGACCATCTATGTACTAATTCCTAAATTTCTTTTTTCTCCATTCATCTAAGTTCTTTTAGGGGTGTTCAAAAAACCCAATAACCCAACGAACCCAACCCAACCTAGGATTAAACATTGGGTTGGGTTGGGTTGGAAAATTCCCAACCCAGCCGAGTCGGGTCCGGGGTTGACCCTCAAAAAAATCGGGTTGACCCGACCTGAAATACTGATTTAAATATAAATAATAATAATAATAATAATAATAATAATTATTATTATTATTATTATTATTAATTGATATTTTTCCTTTTTATGTTCAATCTCAGCTTTAAGATTTAATCTCAACCATCCGTTTTAGGGTTTTACTTTCTCATCTCTCTCCCCTACTTCGAACCTTCTCTATTATCGTCCTCTCCTCCATTGTTACACAACCAAACTTTCTCTCCTCCTTTGTTACCCAACCAAGCTTTCTTCTCTTCTATTATTGTTCATCCATCGTCGTCGCCGCTATACCGTCGTCGCACGTTGCTGTCGCTTGCTGTACCATCGCCGCATGTTGTCGCTGACCGTTGAACCATCGCCGCACGCTGCACCATTTGCTATAATCTCTTCCTCTCCTCCATTTCAGATCTTTTTTTTTTCTTTCTGTTGTTTAGTTTTTGTTTATTTCATGGGTGAAAGTGAAACTAATTTTTGGGTTGTACTGATATTGGAAGAACTTTACTGATTTTGGAAGAACTTGTATTGATTTTGGGTTGGAAGAATATGTACATGATTTTGGGGTTGAAATAATAAATTTAATAAATTAAATTAAAAAAAGAAAAGACAACCCGACAACCCAACCCAACCTGATTTTTTCTGGGTTGGGTTGGGTTGGCCATCTATTTTCAACCCACGGGTTTCCACATATGACCAGCCCGAAAATTCAGGTTGGTCCAAAAAACACCCCTAACTTGATCCAACCCAACCCGTGAATACAAGTTCTTTATTAAAATTATCATTTATTTAAGTTTATTAAGAGTTTGTAAAGGTGGAGGGATAGTATTTAAAAAGAGAGAAAAAATTAGAGAATATTTTGTAAAGATTGAGAGATAGTATTTAGAAAGAGGGATAAAATTAGCGGAATCGAAAGAGAAATTCGTTTGAATGACAAATTTGCTCTTAAAATAATAGTAATAAAAAGATAAATTTAACATGTTGCTCACTAGTATATAAGAAATTTAACGTACTTAAATTATTACAGACTTTATTATGTTTAGAGACTAAATTATTACTAATTTAAAGTATAGAGACTAAATTATTACTTCATTTAAATTAGTATATTTTAACTTTGATTTTTTTTTGTCGAAGCGAGCACAACTCAGTAATAATTAGTATATATATCCAGCTAAGAGGTTATGAGTTCGATCCACATCTACTAAAAAAAAGTCTCTTTTTCTTTTTATTTATTTATTTTTATTTTTTAAAAGTTTATGATTAAAATTAGACAAAGTAATCAAATTCAAGACTGATAAAAAAAAAATAATAAAAAAAAAGGAAAGGGGAAAAAGGGAAAAGGAATGAGCTACGGCATATCGTCGCAGGCTGAAACTCTATAGCCCTCTTGGTTTTGCAATTGGCGGAACGCCGACGAGTCTCCTGCTGAAGGAGGGCAAAGAGCGCAAAAGCCCTAGAATCAGCTGCCAATCCTCACCTGCTGAAGAGCCTCGCTCAAATCTGGGTTCTTAAGATGACAGAGGTGGCGAGCTCAGTGGTGCACGAGGTCCTGGGACCGAGAACTCAGGACGTGGATCAGCCCATCATTGACTACATCATCAATGTCCTTGCCGACGAGGATTTCGAGTTTGGCGAGGATGGGGAAGGAGCTTTCGAGGCCCTTGGTGAGCTTCTCGTTGGTGCCGGCTGCGTTAGCGACTTCGCCGAGTGCCGCACGGTTAGTTGAACAGTGGTTCGATTGATTACTCTAAAAATGTAGGAAGAGTGTTCATGTTTATATATCGTGTCTCTACTCGGGGTTTATGAATTTGTAGTGCCTGTATTGAGGTTCTGATGTCGTCCAGTGATTGGTTTGTTTGTAGAATGAAGGAAAAGTGAGATGAAGACAGTAAAGGTTACAATGAATTTTGCATTATGTAGTCAAATAGAACTTGTATAAACAGGGTTAATTTAAATTTCACATTAGCCATCTGCTTTGAGATGATACTTCCATGGAGCACTGGTTACTTTGATCGTTACTATGTTGGTAACTTGATACGATTGTTTCTTTTGAAAATGTATTGTTCTGATACCTGGGAATTATGTAGGTTTGTATTAAAATTTCTGAGAAGTTTGGAAAGCATGGAATGGTCAAAACTAAACCGACTATGCGCAGTCTTGTGACACCCTTGAGAATGAATGAAGGAATGGATGAAGTGGAGGTTCCAAAGAAGAAGCCTGAAGTTACTGATGGTCCTGTACTGACCGAGCGCGACCGAGCAAAACTAGAGAGGAGAAAGAGGAAGGAGGAGCGTCAAAGAGAGGTGAAGATTTCCACTGATGTTTTACAGCTGCCTTTGTCAAATACGGTCATTTCTGTTCAGAAATATTTGCTAGCCATGAGCAGCGGTGGCTGATATATTCATAATACTGGCACACCAGAAAATTAAAAAGAAAAAGGGGCATAGCCGGACCTTTTCACTATGAATAAACTTTGTAAATGGCTCAATAGGTTTATTTATGAACTAGCTTAAAATGCTCAATAGGTTTATTTATGAACTAGCTTAAAATGCTTTTCTTTAATCATCAGGCGCAATACCAAATGCATTTAGTTGAAATGGAGGCAGCCAGAGCAGGAATGCCTGTAGTATGTGTAAATCACGACAGTGGCTCTGGACCTGCAGTCAAGGATATTCATATGGAGAATTTCAATATCTCTGTTGGTGGTCGTGATCTCATTGTGGATGGTACAGTTACACTGTCATTTGGAAGGCATTATGGTGAGTTTATTTTTTCTTTTTCACTCTTTGCGCAATTGGATTTTTTTAGAAGGTAGAAAATTTACTGGTGAAAAATCTCAACATGATATCCAACCATGTCAATATGACGTTAACATGGTTGGATATCATGTTAAAAAAAGATCTTAACACGATAATTTATGATAAATATAAACATGCAAAAAACCAAGCTGCACCAAAATCAGAAATATTGGTTTTTTAAAAACATAAACTGAGGAAACTGATGGTTTTTAAAAACCAGATCAAAGAGACTGGTTCAACTCGGTTCAGTTTGATTTCTCAGTTTCCTGCACGTCCTTAATTCGGAGGATGAGCCCTTTTATTAGGTAGCAATTTTTCTCAAACCCAAGCCCAATGAGATTCCATGATAGGAAAATCATTTAAAGACCTTGTGACCCCTACCATATTTGCTGCAATCAACTTTGTCATAGTTGACAATTGATTGCAACTCGAGACTCTCCCTAATGCCTTATTGTGCTTAACAAAAGTTCGAAAGTGTGTCCTACAAGTGTCAAACTCATAAATAATTCGTTCAGCTAGTGTGGGGAATGTGTCCTTTGGGCTTAACAAGTATTGGAGTGTTTGGGTGCCCAACACGTGTCGAACATGGTCAGATTAGTAAAACTTGAGTGCTCATGCTTTCTAGAGTGTCTAGAGGGGCAGTCACTTTGTGGCATCAGATGAAGAACATCCTTGTAGGAAATGCTATTAGAATAGAATTAGGAATATTATTAGGGTATTAGGGGTATACTAGTAATTAGTTAAGGAAGTTGTTAGAGCCAGAGGGATTTGTTATAAATAGAGTGAGTGAGAAATGGTTGAGGTATGCATTGATTTAGTTGGTTTAGCTTGAGTAAGAATACTCAAGAAAGGGGAGGGTCCAAGTGCCTTGAATTACTTGGGGATAATTGTAGTTCTTTTGTATTTTATATTTCAATATATTTCTAGTTGTTTAGGATCTATCACATCCATAATGTTGAGGAGTGTATTGCGATCAATGTCAAGGACTCAAGGGCTTCTTACTATGGGGACTCCAAAGGGGACCATCATAAAAAATATAGGGTAGGAAACAAACCATAAGGAGAGGGGACTCCAAAGGGGACCATCATAAAAAATATAGGGTAGGAAACAAACCATAAGGAGAGGGGAGTCAGATATTAGATTGAGAAAGGAGGTCCATCCTTTCTTGTCTCCTCTAGAGTGAACCGAAACTTGAATCCTTTACCCCGATTGGTATCCAGCATTGTGGTTGTGGCGATAAACCCTTTTTTTCTTTATATCTTTTCCACCCAAAAGATGTAAATGTAATTGTCACTCTTAGACTCTTTGAAGATTTTGTGGTTGAGGGGAGGATTTATATTGTAGCAGTCAAGCAAGCGAGCGAAGTCCAATGTATGAAAAATGAGAAAGAGTTGTCTACGATTGTGGTTATCCTGGCTTTACTACCAGTTTTCTGCAATCTATGTCCATGGTAAAGGATTTCTTTTCAACAGTAATAGACCAACACTGGCCCTTACATCCCCTCAAAGGGAGGGGAGGGATAATTTAAATGGAGAGAAGGGATGGGGAGACATATAGGGGAGGTTTCTGTCGAGGAAGAGATGAATGACAATGTTGAGTGTGGGGATAAGAGGCAAAGGAGAGCATTGTAAGAGAAGGGACAAAATGTTAAATTATCTAATAGAGAAAGATGAAAATCGTGTATTTGGAATTGTGCTGCGAGGGCTCTTTAGTGGTACTTATGGCGGGAAAGGAATCATTGTATTTTTAAAGATAAGACCTCTACTTTTGAATTTTTGTGTAGAAGTGTACAGCAGCTTCATGTGGTGTCTCAACTATACTAACTTCATGTGGTGTCTCAACTATACTAAATTCTTTTGTAACT